ATGCCCCTCGCGCGCTCTCCCGTTGTAGCCGCGCTACACGGGGTTCGAACAAGCGGGGATTTAAAAATGGCGGCTCCTCGCTTATGCAAATGAAGCCCGGGAAATTCAAATCGCGGGCTTCATTTGCAAGTGCGGTATGCCTACATTACCCTCCTAGTTCGAACTAGGAGGGTAGTGTGGACATACCCATATTTTAAAGATAGTTGTTTTGAACCACTAATAAGCTCCCCATTGCTACTTGGATTCAAAATAGGACTTTATTTTAGTAGCCCTTGCTAGAGTTAAAAATATCCTACTCACTAGTAGTGTGACAGTGTTTATAAGTGACACTATACAGGGCATATCAGTGCTTACTAGCAGTCTGAAAATGTTACCTGACAGAGGTCCTGTTTGCTAGATAACAGTTTTTTTGTAATATTATAGTCAATTCCACTTTTGTGACGTATAATTCGATAAAACTCCATCATCATCGCCTTCAGTGCCTCTGCTGGTGTTCCCTCATTCATTGCATTCTTCATTTGGAGTAGAATGCCTTCTGCTTTGCTCACCTTCAAGAGAAGAGATTATTAAAAATTAAATTCTAACAAAATAGTTCAACAAGCTTGAAAAAGGTAAACACTAGAAATAGAGAGTAATTTCTTTCTACACTAAGATTATAATTTTTATTTGTTCTTTGTTATTGCAACATGAGATGAGTACAGTGACTTTTTGCAATGGAGTTTGGCAATCAAAACTAAGGACCTGATTTTACCCTCATGCTGAGCTACTCTGTGAGTAATCATACTGATTTCAACAGGACTAAACAGAAAGTAAGGGGAACAGAACCTCCCCAAGTAGATAACAAAAAAGAATATGGATTTGATTAGCTGGTAATGCCTTTTGGTTTATTGTAAATTCACAAGGTCAACCTAATTCTTTATTAAATAATGGAAAACTTATCACAGATGGTTTATGGTTGGAAACCACAGGAAGATTAACTATAAATGTTAATGAAACTTCTAAATCATTAGTTTATCAAAAGTACAAATGAAACTTCTAAATCATTAGTTTATCCAAAGTACACAAATCAAACTGCAAAATGTATTTGTAACAACAGCCTGAAGATTGCACTCTAGGGCCATTGTCCATTTGACATTGTGTCCAAATTAGAAATAAAATTGGAAATAGATTTGCTCGCTTAGCTAAAATTAGTTTCAATAGGGCTGTTACTTGTAATACATTTCCATTGGATCTTTTCTGCTGTAGATCACAGAATAGCAGGGAAAAGGCAAACCATAAGCAATATCCTGTAGTTTAATAGTGTTGAGATAGTCCAGGGACTTCATAACCAAGTTCTATTCCATGTCAGTATTGATCCAAGGTTGGTCCTTTCTTCACAATGGCCCTTTGGCAACATTAGAAAATGTATGCTAACCGAATCGCAGCTTTTAAATTCCTATATTTTAGAAACTTACAACTGTTTCTCAGGAAATTGCACATAATGGTGTTTCTGGCAGTGAAGTCAGTCAGAATATATTAGTATTATCAAATTAATTTTTACAGAGGGACACACTGGGATTCAAAACCTTTCACTTCTAGGACTGTGGTTCATATCTTATCTATAGTGGTAATGACTGAATATTTGTTAGAGAAGAAACAGGCGATCCAGAAGCAGATGGGGTAAACAGAACTGTTTTATTGCCCACGCATGTTTACCTTGGACAGTCAACACAATATCTGAGAGGCAACAATTTTGCACCAATTAATCCCTTTTATCTATTTTAGTATGTTAATTGCAAGTCTATCACTACTTTTCCTAAAACTTTATTTAGTAATGTTAACTCCCATAAAATGAATATTAATAACTATACCTGCCCCTGTTTATTGTTAACTGGTTTTTAGTTGAATAAGCATTACATACTGTCTTAATCGGCAGCTTCTAGGGAGGGAGAGAGTGCTTCAACCCTGAAAATGTTTTTATGGACAAGTGTGAAGACAAAATAAGACACTGTTCAGTGCAACCATCTTCCAAGGCTACCAGGACAAAGGGGAAAAACATGTTTAAAGGGCAATGGCATTGCCTATTCTGGCTAGACCCCTTACCCACTGATGTAGGGTCATCACAGACCCTATTAATTTTTACATATCCCAACAAATATCATCTCAGTAGACAGGTTCTGACATCTCCACATCAAATGGTATGTCTAATTTATATATTAACTGATTTATAAAATGCACCTGCTGCAGTCTGTCTCTCTCCGTCTCTCTCTCTTGCACACACACACTATTAATAATGCACAGTACTGATCAGTGTCTGCATATTGGAAAATTTTCACCCCTAAAAGACTTCAAATCTCTTTCCCACCTTACATTGTTCTCCAAAGATCAGCAGCTCTGAGCATTATCTGACCAGCAAGATGCATTCCAGAGCTAAGGGATCCTAGCTGACAATGCTTTTTCTCCACATTTAAAAAGTGTTAATGTGCGTTCCCTAGTAATCTCAACTCCTGTAGCAAAATATATAAAGCAAACTTGAAATTAAAACAATACTAGTTTTGAAATGGAGGTGTGTTTAAATACAACTATATCCAGTATAGTTCTGATCCTAGGGCACAAAGAGCAAAATACTCTTGCTTGAAGTAAAATACTTACATTAATACTTACATAACATTAATTCTCAAAGAGTAATCATCTCCCAGCAAAATTAACTTACATCATTGAGGCTGAGGTTGTTTACTGGCTCAAGTAGTAAATGGTCCAAATGACCAAGTGCTTCTGCCCAGATCAGTTCTACAAAAGCACTAATTTCTTGGGATAAAGTGCTTGAATTTATAGCTTCCTCTAGAAGTAGCTGTAGTAAACAAATATTAATGAATAAAAGCAAAATACAAAACTTGCATCTGCAGTTCTCACACTGGTAAAATTCTCATTGATTTCCCTGTTCTTATACGCAATATTCTATGATATGCATGTTAACTTTTATGATGACTTCTTTAGGCCCATTGATAAAAGGGGAGACTTGTTTACATAAAGTCTTCTGGATGAGGAGCATGGTAAAAGTGAGGCCATGTTCTTGCTTGAAAGTTGGGTGGGGTGTCTGATAATGAATGGGATGTATTATTAAATATAACACAGCCAGTTTATTTTGCCAGCTTTGCTGGAAGAAAGTCCACAAAAATCTCTACTACACTGCGATTCTTTCTCCTTTCCCTTTAAAAAGTCCCCAAACCACTTGAACCACAGCCATGATTCCTGTGAACAAATTTTCTAATCAATCCCCTAAACTCAAATGAAGACTCTGTCGTACACAAATTCTTCAGCTAACTCAGTTGTTCTCTGCTCCCCTTTTCTTTCCTCCATTGTTTGTGGCAGACTACCCCAAAATTGCTTCCATGCCTTCCCCAGTCTTCATGACTGCAGGAGCAATTCAGTTGAGAGTTGATGGATAATGGACAGCAGGTCACTACTATTTTCTTTATTATGCAATTGATTCCTGTAAGTTCAGGATTCAAACTCATAGCATCATAGAATACTAGAACTGGAAGGGACCTTGAGAGATCATCAAGTCCAGCCCCCTGTCCTCACGGCAGGACCAGGCACCATCTAGATCATCTCTGATAGATGTCTATCCAACCTACTCTTAAATATCTCCAGAGATGGAGATTCCACAACCTCCCTAGGCATTTTTTTCCAGTGTTTAACCCCCCGAAAGGAAGTTTTTCCTAAGGTCCAACCTAAACCTCTCTTGCTGCAACTTCAGCCCATTGCTTTTGTCCTAACATCAGAGGCCAAGGAGAATACTCCAGTACTCCAAGGCTAAGTCTACACCACAAGGTTTTTGCGCATAAATGGCCATTTTTGTGCAAAAACCCATGGAGCGTCCACACCTCAAGCACGTTTTTGCAGAATAAAATCTACGGTCAATCGACAGAACTGAGGGCTTTTTGCAGTGAAGGTATAGCTCCTTCTACGAGGCATAACTCTTTTTTGCGCTACAACTCTTGCACAAAAAGGTGCGTGTGGATGCTATGCAGGGGTTTCTTGTGCAAAAAGAGCCTATCTGAAAAAGCACAGGTGCTCTGATGGCCATTCTGTGAATGGCCATCAGAGCTTTCTTGCACAAGAACGTCCATACAGTGTGGAAGCTCTCTTGCACAAAAGCACATCGCTTTTGCGATGCACTTTTGAGGTGTGGACATGCTTTTGAGCAAGAAGTTTTTGCACAAGAACTCTTCCACAAAAGACTTCTTGAGCAAAAACCCTGCAGTGTAGATGTAGCCCAACTGAGGCCTAATCATTGCAGGGTAGAATCATGTTTGCTTTTATTGCAACAGCCTCACACTGTTGCCTCACATTTAGCTTGTGGTCCACTATGACCCCTAGATCCCTGTCTGCAATACTCCTTCCTAGACAATCACTTCCCATTCTGTATGTGTGAAACTGACTGTTCCTTCCTAAATAGAGCACTTTGTATTTGTCCTTATTAAACTTCATACTATTTACCTCAGATAATTTCTCTAGGTGGTCCAGATCATTCTGAATTATGACCCTATCCTCCAAGCACTTGCAACCCCTCCCAGCTTGGTATCATCTGCAAATTTAATAAGCGTACTCTCTATGCCAATATCTAAATTGTTGATGAAGATATTGAATAGAACCGGTCCCAAAACAGACCTCCTGCCAAAACCAACTTGTTATGTCCTTCCAGCTTGATTGTGAACCATTAATAACTACTCTCTGGGAACAGTTTTTATGCATCCATCTTATAGTAGCCCCATCTAGGTTGTATTTCCCTAGTTTATCAATAGGAAGGTCATGTGAGACCATACCAAATGCTTTACTAAAGTCTAGGTATACCACATCCACCGCTTCTCCCTTATCCACAAGACTTGTTATCCTATCAAAGAAAGTTAAAAGATTGGATTGACATGATTTGTTCTTTACAAATCCATGCTGGCTGTTATCTCACCTTATTATCTACCAGCTATTTGCAGATCAATTCCTTAATTACTTGCACCAGAAGTTAAACGGACTGATCTGTAGTTTCCTGGATTGTTCTTATTTCCCTTTTTATAGATGGGCACTGTATTTGCCCTTTTCCAGTCTTCTCGAATCTCTTCCGACTTCCATGACTTTTCAAAGATGATAGCTAAAGGCTCAGATACCTCCTCTATCAGCTCCTTGAGTATTCTAGGATGCATTTCATCAGGCCCTGGTGACTTGAAGACATCTAACTTTTCTAAATAATTTTTAACTTGTTCTTTTTTTAAATTTTGACTCTAAATCTATCCCATTTCCACTAGGAAAGTTATTGTTGTCTTTATTGAGAGTACATACTATTTCTATTGGTTTAAAAAGCTCTGGCAAAAATAGTACAAGCCTATCACCAAGACACTCCTCTAATAAGGTAAAACCTGGAGAAGTAAGGTAGGGCCATACAAACCAGTGCAATCCACACATCCAAAGGTGAGAAAGAAAGTATAGAGAGATTTTCTAATGTATACAGAGGGAGATTATTAAAATATTTGCTTTTTTTGCTCCAGTGATTACCATGAAGTCGGCATTTTCCATTAGTTACTGCATAGCAGTATCAGACAACACAGTGTTTTGCTTAGAATAAGAAAGAATTGTTGGAAGATACTGAAGATATATCATTAAGAACAGAATAATTCAAACAAATAAACCATACTAACCTCTTGTAATTTTGTGGAGGCTAAATAATCTGCACCTAGGGGAAGGGTTTCTCTTAACAGGAAATCTTGGTTCTTCAGATCTTTAACATAAATCTCATAATTTTCTCTTACTTCTTCAGAAGTCTTAGTTCTTATGAACAGTTTTTTACTCTGTGAATAACATCAAAATACATAAGAAAAAGACTTACAGAAGTTTTGTGGTATGCCACACTATTGTTTGAACCTCTCTAGTCTGGCACCTGCAGGACCTGACAAGTGCCAAACCAGAGAATTATCTGATTCATGAGAGGTCAGTATTATCTAGCACCATTACCAACTTTTCCACTGCTTAGTAGGCTCTTAGGATATGTCTACACTACCCTCCTAGTTCGAACTAGCGGGGTAATGTAGGCATACCGCACTTGCAAATGAAGCCCGGGATTTGAATTTCCCGGGCTTCATTTACATAAGCGGGGAGCCGCCATTTTTAAAACCCCGCTGGTTCGAACCCCGTGCAGCGCGGCTACACGGGGCTCCCCATAAGCAGA